TCAGGCCCCACCCACATATCCTGTCCTGACCAATCATACATTAATCAGGTCCCATAAGTTTTCATAGAGTCACAGCCGGCCCATGGGAGGTTCTTGGGACCATATTTATAAAGTAACAAATATTGATTTAAAAAAAAAAAAAAGGATTGATTTATGGAGTAACAAATAACCAATTTATAGGGTAACAAATTATTGATTAATAAAGTATCAATGTAATGAATAATACAGGAATAAATTAACAAAGAAACAAATGATTTATAAAAAAGAAATGATTGATTTATTGAATAATTATCAATTTATAGGGTGACAAGTGATTGATTTATAAAAAAGGAAATGGGGGGGGGGGGGGGGTAGGGTAACAAATGATTGCTTTATAAAAAAAAAGAATTATATATTTATTGAATAACAAATAATTTATAGGGTAACAAATACCGGTAAGGATTAATAAAGTATCAATGTAATTAATAATACAGGAATAAATTATTGATTAACAAAGAAACAAATTATTGATTTATAAAAAAAGAAATGATCAATTTATTGAATAATAATCAATGTAAAGGGTAACAAGTGACTGATTTGTAAAAAAGGAAATGATCGATTTATTGAATAATAATCAATTTATAAAAAAGGAAATGATGAATAATCAATTTATTGAATAATCAACTTATAAAAAAGGAAATGATCAATTTATTGAATAATAATCACTTTATAGGGTAACAAATGAATGATTATTGATTTATTGAATAACAAATAATCAATTTACGGGGGGTAACAAATATTCATTAATAAAGAATCAATGCAATGAATAATACAGGAATAAACTGATTAACAAAGAAACAAATTATTGATTTAAAAAGTAACATATTAATGACTTATAAGAAATAATTGATCTATAAAGTAAAAAAAAAAAAAAAAAAGATCGATTTATAAAGAAACAAATTATCAATTTATAGGATAACAAATTATTGATGAAAAAAGTAACAATTTAAGGAATAATAAAGTAATATATTAGTGATTAAAACAGTAACAATTTTTTTTATTTTAATAGTAACAAATTATCTAAAGATTTGATACATTTTATAATCACATTCGCTGTCCAATCACAGTCTAGCCTGATGAAATCACATTCGCCCGCATTGCCTGATAGCCGATCAGGATCTCTCGACTATTCGCCGCGTTCACAATATGGCGAATGTGACGTCATCCGGCTCGATCGCTCAGAAGGGGCCCCTGACTTCTATAAGTGGCCATACAGTGTGAACACAAGGGAGGAGGGGGGTCGGGGCCCCTGTACCCTGCCTCTGGGGGAGGGGTTGGGGCCCCTGTACCCTGCTCCTGTCTCTGGGGATCACAGTGTGAGGACAAAGGAGGGTCAGGGGCCCCTCCAATAATCACACACCTAATGATAGCAAATATAATACCCCTGTCACCCGATTCGGGTCAAAAACTCACCACACTCCACAGCTCTCCCCCATGTGCTCCAGAAGCTCCCAGCTGCAGCCAATCACAGGGCGAGCCGTGAGCTGTAAGGAGCATACTGGGAGTTGTAGGCTGCGCAGGCCGGGTGTGTGACTTGTCTGCAATTCCGAGAGAGGCCAGCAGAGGGAGGAGAGAGCAGAGATAGGATTATGCGTGTGATGCCGACAGCGGCCAGCAGAGGGAGGAGAGAGCAGAGAGGATAGGATTATGCGTGTGATGCCGACAGCGGCCAGCAGGGGGGAGGAGAGAGCAGAGATAGGATTATGCGTGTGATGCCGACTCCGGCCAGCAGAGGGAGAAGTGAGCAGAGTTGGAGATCTACAAACATTCAGGATTTATATGTCTGTCCTGCGTCTATAATTTTTTTTTAAATATTAATTTTTTCAATTTTACTTTTTTTTTTGGACTAAAAAGTGGAAAATAACTCTCACTTTTTGGAAAATAATGTGTATATACAGCACTGCATCCGACGCTTTGCATTGCACTTGGTGATGGAAGGCTTGGATGCAGCTGCTCGGCCATGGAAACCCATTCCATGAAGCTCTCTACGCACTGTTGTTGTGCTAATCTGAAGGTCACACCAAGGGGGGGAGAAGGGAGGAGGGGGGGGGGGGTAGATGTGGGGAGGGGGGGGAGGTGGGGTGGGGAGAGGGAGGAGTGGGGTAGATGTGGGGCAGGGTGGGGGAGGGGGGGGGTGGGGGAGGGGGGAGGAGGGGGTAGATGTGGGGGGGAGGTGGGGGGGGGGGAGGGGGAGTCGGGTAGATGGGGGGAGGGTAGGGGAAGTGGGGGCGGGTGGTGGAGGAGGGATGGGGTAGATGTTTGGCAGGGTGGGGGAGGTGGTGGTGGTGGAGGAGGGGGGAGTGGGGTAGATGTGGGGCAGGGGTGGGGGAGGGGGGATTGGAATAGCCCTTGAGAGGTGTTCTGAGGTCTCGGATGGAGTCTTCCACGCCTGCGTTCTGGAGGTGAAGGACATGGCGGCTTCTGGTGAGAGGATGGCCCCACCATGGTGGTTATAGGTAGGACTGGTCTTGGACTCATCTTCTGGAACATCCTTGTGTGCTAATCTGAAGGTCACACCAAGTTTGGAGATCTTTAGCTATTGACTCTGCAGACAGTTGGTGACTTCTGCGCACTGTGCGCTTCAGCATGCGCTGACCCCGCCTGTCATGTGACGTGGCCTACCACTTGGTGGCTGAGTGGCTGTTGTTCCCAGTTGCTTCACTTTGTATAATCCCACTAACAGTGGAGCGTGGAATATTTAGTAGCCAGGAAATGTCACGGATGGACTTATTGCACAGGTGGCCACCTATCACGGGACCACGCTTGGAGTCACTGAGCTCCTGAGAGCGACCCATTCTTTCACCAATGTTTGTAGAAGCCGTCTGCATGCCTAGGGGCTTGATTGTATACACCTGTGTCCATGGAGGGGATTGGAACACCTGAATCACATGATATGTAGGGCGGGGCCAATACTTTTGGCAATATAGTATATATATATATATATTATGCAGAACGTATCCGATCTATAAGCCAGAGGCTCTGGATGGACAGTTGGTCACTGGAATGGAAACAGAGCTCCACCTATAAATATGTATAATGTACCATAATTTGTGATAGAAATGATGATACAATAAAACATTGATTGACAAAAGCAATTTCTTTATTTAGTGTGTTTTAGCAAAATTATTTCAAGGTCCTTTTTGGTTTTCTCATTGTAACCTGGCTGGTTATTGGATTCTTTGCTGTTATCATAGAATGTCCCTTTTAAATTGATATTTAATTTTTTTTTTTGCAGGAAATGCGTGTCATGGATGCAGCGTACAGGCGGAGGAGGATTCCCTGCAGGAATTATCCAGCAGCGTTTTCCCATGCATGTATACAGAGAGTGCAAATCACCAGTCAGAGTATGCAGCAGTTTTTATGGCACATATTTGGAGTGTTCTTAGACAGAGAAAAAATTGAATATTTCTTTTTTTCCACTCCTAGGTTGTATGATGCTCTGAGACCTGTGGGGAGCATAAGGATCTTGGACTTGGATGGTCTGTGCCCTACATGGAGTATAGGGATCCTGGACTGGGATACATGCACTGTATGTTGGCCTGAGCCCCATGGGGAGTATAGTGATCCTGTACAGGGATGGATGTACCGTATATTGCTCTGAGCCTAAGGAGATGTATAGGGATCCTGGACTGGGATGGTTCGGGCCTTATAGGGAGTATATGTATCCTGGACTGGGATGGATGTACTGTATATTGCTCTGAGCCTAATGAGATGTATAGGGTTGCTGGACTGGGATGGTTTGGGCCTTATAGGGAGTATATGTATCCTGAACTGGGATGGATGTACTGTATATTGCTCTGAGCCTAATGAGATGTATAGGGATTGCTGGACTGGGATGGTTTGGGCCTTATAGGGAGTATATGTATCCTGGACTGGGGTGGATGTACTGTATGTTACCCTGAGCCCCGTGGGGAGTATGGGGATCCTGGACTGGCATAAATGCACTGTATGTTGGCCTGAGCCCCATGGGGAGTATAGTGATCCTGGACTGAGATGGATGTACTGTATTTTTATCTGAGCCTCCTTGGGGAATATAGGGATCCTGGACTGAAATGGATATATTGTAGGTTGTTCTGAGCCCCATGTTGAGTATAGGGATCCTGGGCTGGGGAGGATGTACTGTATGTTGCTCTAAGCCCTATGGGGAGTATTGGGATCCTGGACTGAGATGGATGTACTGTATGTTGCTCTGAGCCCATGGGAAATATAGGGATCCTGGACTGAGATGGATGTCCTGCATGTTGGGCTAAACCCTATGGGGAGTATAGGGATCCTGGACTGAGATGGATGTACTGTATGGTGGGTTAAACCCTATAGGGATTATATAGGGATCCTGGGCTGAAATTAATGCCCTGTATGCTCAGCTAAACCCTATAGGGAGTATAGGGATCCTGGACTGGGATGGATGTACTGTATGTTGCTCTGAGCCCATTGGGCAGTATAGGGATCCTGAACTGGGATGGATGTCCTGTATTTTGATCTGAGCCCATTGGGCAGTATAGGGATCCTGGACTGAGATGGACAGTATAGGGATCCTGGACTGAGCTGCATGTACTGTATTTTGATCTGAGCCCATTGGGCAGTATAGGGATCCTGGACTGGGACGGATTGTACTATATTTTGGTCTGAGTCCATTCGGCAGTATAGGGATCCTGGACTGGGATGGATGTACTGTATGTTGCTCTGAGCCCATTGGGCAGTATAGGGATCCTGAACTGGGATGGATGTCCTGTATTTTGATCTGAGCCCATTGGGAAGTATAGGGATCCTGGACTGAGATGGATGTCCTGTATGTTGCTCTGAGCCCACTGGGCAGTATAGGGATCCTGGACTGGGATGGATGGGCTTCTCCTCCACATCTGTATTCTGTTCATACATTTCTCCCTCATTGGTTGCAGACAGTTTAGCGAGTGCGCCTCTCTGCTTTGAAAAGCGTGAAGTGGACTGTAGCGCGGCGTCGGTCAGCCGGTTCGGTGGGAGCAATCCGGCCCCTCCCATCCAGGATAACAGCGGCACTGGAAATGGAGAGCCATATGCACCACGTCCATCTTGGAGCTTCTCCGGAGACCAGGAAGCCTCTGCCCTCGGGGTTCCTTCTAATGCTGAAGCTGTCGGGGTGCAGGTGGAGGTGGCTGTTAGAGGTGGAGTCTTTGCGCACGCAGCGTCCGTTTCCTGTGCACAGCGCCTGACTACACAGGGTGGCGCCATTCGTCACATTGACCACATACATCCCCCCAGTGTGGAGTCTATGTACGACTTCACCGCCAGACACGCCTCCTGCGACAGAACACAGCACAGTCAGCATGAAGGGACAAACATTTAAAAGCTTGTCAATGTTTCAAAGGGATTATCAGAAGAACAATATATTCACAGTGAACCGATAGCAGATATTTTCCAACAGGATCCTAACCCCCCCTAGTGTCCCCATTGGAGGATTTCCCCTCTATTCCAGTTCTAGTGACAACCCCAAATTTGTAATTTTTCTTTTACTCTCAGTGATAACGGTAAATGGGACAAATAGGGAGAGGGGGCCACAGACAGCATTAAAGCCCCACAGGGGTTCCAATCCATACAAATTGATGAATCCATCCACAGGGGTAAAAACTCAGGAGAAGTTGACGTGTTTCTGCCCAAAAGGGCCTTCATCATAACGAGCATTAGACGCGAAACAGCGCCATATATGGGAAGTGCCTGATGGGGACACCATTCAACTTGTGTGCAGGTCCAGACTGGTCATAGGCAGGGGCGGACTGACCATTTGGAAATCTCGGACACTGCCCGAGGGCCCGGGGTCAGTAGGGGGCCCATGAGATGCCCTGGTACCTTTTTCATAGGCTTTTTTGAGTTTGGGAAAGGACACAGGGGTCCCATGATCCCCTATTGCCCCCATGGGGGCCCCATGAGTTTGTCAGTCCGCCCCTAGGTCATAGGGCACACCGGGCATTTGCTTGGTGGGCTGGGGCTGCCTGGATAGGAGGGGAAACACATATAGGAACCAGGCCGTGAATTTCTTTCTTTCTATAGATCGTTTCTCTCTCTTTTCCTCTTTCTCTCCTTTCTTTACTTCTTTCCTTATGTCTCCTGTTTCTCTCCTTTTCTTTCGCTTTTTCTTTCTTCTTTCTTTCTTTCTTTCTTTCTTTCTTTCTTGACTCTTACTTTCTTTCTCTTCTTTCTATTCTTTCTTTCTTTCCCCATCCTTCCTTGTTTTTCCTCCTTCCTTCTTTCTCTCCTTCTCTTCCTTCTTTCCCTCTTTCCTTCTTTCCTTCCTTCCCTCCTTCCTTCATTCCCTCCTTCCTTTTTCCCTCCTTCCTTCTTTTCCTCTTTCCTTCTTTTCCTCCTTCCTTTTTCCTCCTTCCTTCCTTCTTTCTTACCTCCTTCCTACAGATTCCTTCTTTCTTTCTTTCTTTCTTTCTTTCTTTCTTTCTTTCTTTCTTTCTTTCTTTCTTTCTTTCTTTCTTTCCTTCCTTCCTTCCTTCCTTCCCTCTTTCATTCCTTCCTTGCTCCTTTCTTTCCTCCTTTCTTCTTTTCCTACTGTCCTCCTTTCCCCTTCCTTCCTTCCTTCCCTCCTTATTTTCTTTCTCTCTTCTTTTCTCTTTCCCTTTCGTTTCTTTTCTCTCTTCGTTCTATCTTTCTCTCTTCCTACAAAAAAATGTAAAAAACATAATAAAATATAAAATTGTAAAAAATTAAATAAAATTAAAAAAAACTACTTACACTATTTATTGGCAGAACTACCAGGGTCCCCAGGGTAACCTTTAGGTTACCAACAGTGGCTCTTGCGACCGGGGCCCTGGCGTTCCGCTGCTGGGCTCCAAGAAAAGGGGTCCCCAGGCTTGGGGATGCTCAGTCCAAAATACCCGGGCCTATTTTTTGTCCCAGTCCAGGCCTGCTTGTGCGACATTCGGACATCAAAGTTGCATGACAAGTCAAAACCCATGTTTTCCTATGATAACCATTCATATATGTGTGACTTAAAAAGCGCGAGTTCCACTCAAGCTGTCAAAAAATAAAAAGTCAGCAGCTACAAAAACTGTAGCTGATGACTTTTAAAAAACAACCACTTACCTGTCCCTCGGCCTGCGGTGTGTCCCCTTCAGCCCGTTTCACCGGCCGTCCTGTATTCCAGGCGCTAGCATCTTCAGTGTGGGCACCTGGCTGTGACAGCTTCACAGATGGGTACCCACTGCGCATGCGCAAGTAGCGCTGTGCTTCATGAATGGTCCTGTAGTCTCCTGGGACCTGTCACGTCTCCCAAAAGACTACAGGGAGGGAGGACACCTTCCGCTTCTGATCGCCTAGGCGATCAGACCAAAAGTGGGAGCAGGTACCTGTCAAATTCGGGTACCTGCTCCCCCCCATGGCCCCGCCCCCCAAAGGTGCCAATCCTTAATGGGGAGCGGGGGAGCAGTCCTTAAAGCGGAACCTCCCCTTTTGGGCGGAGCTCCGCTTTAAAATTGCAGCGACTTCTCCTGTTAAAAAAAGTTGCAGTGACTTCAGAGTAGTTTATGTACCGCTTTTATGCAACTTGAGAGCCATCGATGTCAATGTTAACCCTCAAAAGTTGCATGCAAGTTGTACCTGACAGTACCTGAAAAATTCTATTTTTTTAAATTGTAAAAGAAAAAAAATGTAAACAAAAAAATTGTAAAAGAAAAAAAAACATGACGAGGAAGAATTCACAAGAAGTTGATCCAGGGAATATCCGATTGTCTCTCGGGGGATCAGGAAGGAATTTTTTTCCCTGCAGGAGCAAAACTAGATCATGCTTTGCTGGGTTTTTTTGCCTTCCTCTGGGTCAACTGTGGGTGGAGGATTATAACTTTTTTTTCTGTGGTTGAACTGGATGGACTTTTGTCTTTTTTCAGCCAGACTAACTATGTATGTAACAAGAAAAACTGATAACAAATGTGACTGACTATCAATAGCAATTCCTGGTGATTTCATTCGGTCACTTCCTTTTCGGTGTCCTCGATCCTCGGCTCCTGCGAGTCTCCTGCGCCTTCGTATGCTCCATTCTGGGTATCCCCTTCGTTTTATTTGTGTACTTATGATGTTCCTTATAAAAGGTGTCGTCTGCTGAGCAATTACGGCGGGCACGGATGAACCTGGCGACTGGTGCGGCCCTGAGGGTGTGAGACAGAGGAAGCAAGTAATGCAGCATTCCCCGGGCGTGCAGACACAACACCCGTATCCAGGGGCGGACTGACAACTCATGGGGCCCCCGGGCAATAGGGGATCATGGGGCCCCTGTGTCCTCTTTTAAACTCAAACCACACCCAAAAAAGCCTATGAAAGGTACCAGGGGCATCTCATGGGGCCCCTACTGACCCTGGGCCCTCGGGCAGTGCCCGAGTTCTCGAATGGTCAGTCCGCCCCTGCCTGTATCTGGATGTCCTTGTAACGTCATATCCAGAAAGTCAATCACCGTGGAATCGCTAGAACGGGCAAAGCGCAGATCGCACAGATTTTCATGGTGCTGGCAGGACGAATATATGCGACCGCTTGGTAGGTGGGCCTGAACGCAGAGCGGCTGCATATATGTGGCCCTGGGAAAACTACTTCCTGTGCTGAGAACGCGGTCCCTGCGTGGCAGCCAGCGGAGATCGCTAAGCTCCCGATCCATACTTGCATACGATCATGTGACCGCTGTGACAGCCAATCACGTTTTCTATTTTGTTCATTTTTTTAAATGTTTTGGACTATAATAAAAGAATTTATTTTAATTTTTAATTTTTTTATTCCCTCGCTCACTTTTCATCCTACAATTCACATTTCCGTCTTGTTATTGTTTTTGTTTATCATGTATCTTCTATTTATTTCTCTCTTTGCTTTCCTTCTTCCTTTTCATCCCAGCTGTGTTATTAAAGAGGACCTGTCATTATAAGAGACACCCGTCTGAGAAGCGTCTGAGCGTCAGTGACCTCTCCTTTTCCGGTTACCTTGCTGCGGCTGTAGTCATTGTTCCCCCAAAGGACGACGCCCGCAGTTCCCAGCGCTGCGCTCTGTCCAATCGTCTGGATTAGATCTTCCTGCGGGATACAGAAGAGTCAGAACTTGTGTCATGTGACTAACCAAAGGCATCAGATAAATGACTGGACTGGTATGCTGGCCACACAGTACAACCTGATTGTACAATCTCCTTTAAGCTGACCATATGCAAGGCTTTCTTAGTACATGGACACTGCCCAGGGGCCCCAGGTTAATGTGGGCCCCATGATAGTTTATCATTATATCATACTTGCCAGCTGTCCTGGATTTGCCGGGACAGTTACGCTTTTAGCTGTCAGGATGGCCATGTCCCGGGCAGCGTCCCAGAACCTGTACTGTGCCTTCCTGATCCCAGTATTGTGCCCTCCTGATCCCCCCCAGTATTGTGCCCTCCTGATCCCAGTATTGTGCCCTCCTAATCCCACCCAGTATTGTGCCCTCCTGATCCCTCCCAGTATTGTGCCCTCCTGATCCCTCCCAGTATTGTGCCCTCCTGATCCCAGTATTGTGCCCTCCTAACCCCCCCCCCCCCCCCCAGTATTGTGCCTTCCTGATCCCTTCCAGTATTGTGCCCCCCTGATCCCACCAGTATTGTGCCCTCTTGACCCCCCAGTACTGTGCCCCCCCTGATCCCCACAGTACTGTGCCTTCCTGATCCCAGTATTGTGCCCTCCTGATCCCTCCCAGTACTGTACCCTCCTGATCCCCCCCAGTATTGTGCTCTCCTGCTCACCGGGGTGGGAAGGCTGCCTGTACCGCTCCCCTGTCCTCCCCTGCAGGAGGAGCTCTGCTGCCTGTGCCCAGGTTATGTGCAGTGCAGGAATGAGAGAAGGAGCTCTGCCCTGCCAGCAGTGACCCCTCTCCTCTGCCCTGCCAGCAGTGACCCCTCTCCTCTGCTCTGCCAGCAGTGACCACTGTCCTCTGCCCAGCCAGAAGTGACCCCTGTCCTCTGCCCTTCCAGCACTGACCCCTCTCCTCTGCCCTGCCAGCAGTGACCCCTGTCCTCTGCCCAGCCAGCACTGACCCCTGTCCTCTGCCCTGCCAGCAGTGACCCCTCTCCTCTGCCCTGCCAGCAGTGACCCCTGTCCTCTGCCCAGCCAGCAGTGACCCCTCTCCTCTGGCCTGCCAGCAATGACCCCTGTCCTCTGCCCAGCCAGCAGTGACCCCTCTCCTATGGCCTGCCAGCAGTGACCCCTGTCCTCTGCTCTGCCAGCAGTGACCCCTGTCCTCTGCTCTGCCAGCAGTGACCCCTCTCCTCTGGCCTGCCAGCAGTGACCCCTGTCCTCTGCTCTGCCAACAGTGACCCCTCTCCTCTGCCCTGCCAGCAATGACCCCTGTCCTCTGCTCTGCCAACAGTGACCCCTCTCCTCTGCCCTGCCAGCAGTGACCCCTCTCCTCTGCCATGCCAGCAGTGACCCCTGTCCTCTGCTCTGCCAACAGTGACCCCTCTCCTCTGCCCTGCCAGCAATGACCCCTGTCCTCTGCTCTGCCAACAGTGACCCCTCTCCTCTGCCCTTCCAGCACTGACCCCTGTCCTCTGCCCTGCCAGCAGTGACCCCTCTCCTCTGCCATGCCAGCAGTGACCCCTGTCCTCTGCCCTTCCAGCACTGACCCCTCTCCTCTGCCCTGCCAACTGTGACCCCTGTCCTCTGCTCTGCCAGCAGTGACCCCTCTCCTCTGCCCTGCCAGCAGTGACCCCTGTCCTCTGCCCAGCCAGCAGTGACCCCTCTCCTCTGGCCTGCCAGCAATGACCCCTGTCCTCTGCCCAGCCAGCAGTGACCCCTCTCCTCTGGCCTGCCAGCAATGACCCCTGTCCTCTGCCCAGCCAGCAGTGACCCCTCTCCTCTGGCCTGCCAGCAGTGACCCCTGTCCTCTGCTCTGCCAGCAGTGACCCCTGTCCTCTGCTCTGCCAACAGTGACCCCTCTCCTCTGCCCTGCCAGCAATGACCCCTGTCCTCTGCCCTGCCAGCAGTAACCCCTATGCTCTGTCCAGCCAGCAGTTACCCCTGTCCTCTGCCCTTCCAGCACTGATCCCTGTCCTCTGCCCTGGCAGCAGTGACCCCTCTCCTCTGGCCTGCCAGCAGTGACCCCTGTCCTCTGCTCTGCCAGCAGTGACCCCTGTCCTCTGCTCTGCCAGCAGTGACCCCTCTCCTCTGGCCTGCCAGCAGTGACCCCTGTCCTCTGCTCTGCCAGCAGTGACCCCTCTCCTCTGGCCTGCCAGCAGTGACCCCTGTCCTCTGCTCTGCCAACAGTGACCCCTGTCCTCTGCTCTGCCAACAGTGACCCCTCTCCTCTGGCCTGCCAGCAATGACCCCTGTCCTCTGCCCTGCCAGCAGTAACCCCTATGCTCTGTCCAGCCAGCAGTTACCCCTGTCCTCTGCCCTTCCAGCACTGACCCCTGTCCACTGCTCTGCCAGCACTGCCCCCGTTCTCTGCACTGCCAGCAATAACCCCAGTCCTCTGCACTGCCAGCAATGACCCCTGTAGATGTACACCAAGGATGGGGTAAACCAAGCTGTGTGTGTGGTCCTGTCAGGTAGGCTGTATGGGTCCCCATCTGCCACTTACCTGGGTCAGGAAGTCCATGCTGTATGTGTACACGATCCGGGCGTAGGGAAATACCGGGAGCTCACCCTCTTCTGACTGTCCAGATACTCTGAAAGCCTCTTCCAGGCGGTGTTTCACGAACTGACTGACACACACAGAGTCCTTCAGCATTTGTTCCAGGTAGATGTCCGGATAGAGCGCCTGGCTGGACCTCCACATCCATTTCAGAAGGTTGTTCCTGGCCACATCGACCGGCGGGCATTCTCCCGTGTAATTGTAGAGAGCTTTTTTGTAGTCGTAATTGTAGCAGTTAGGAAAGCCATAGAGGCCCCACAGCCCGCCGGGCCTTAGTTTACGGCTTAAAGCCAATGTAGACGTTATAAACTTTTCAGCGGCCTCCTCAAACTCTCTTTTGGCCTCCAGCAGTACCTTCTGCTTAGGCCATTGGGGGTGTCGCTTCCGCACCAGTTCCCGAGAATGCTTTCTATAGATGTCCTTTCTGTCCCAGTTCCGATCCCACAAAGGCCTCCAATCCTCCCAATCTATGACGGCCGCCCCTATGAAGTCCAGAGAAGGGATAGTAGTCACCAGGTCTTTGTAGGCCTGGTTAAGGTGGTCACTAAGGCTGGCGTTCTGAGGCAATCCGTCATTGATGGGGCTGCCATCCAAGTCGTAATAAGGGTACAACCCCAGCTGAGTTTCATAGAAGATCACCATCTCACTGCCTGCAAAGGATTGGTTCTCATTGACCACAATGTCAAATGGATCCAAGTCCAGGTCCACACCATACTTCTCCCAGCAGTGGTTGGTCGGGGCGTTCCAGACCGTGACAAAAGGACGTCCAGGAAGAAGAACCCCGGGACTGGCATGCATGGAAACCAAAACAATTGAAAGGTGATAGATGGCCAGAAGAAGAACCTTGTGAGACATTGGTCGTCTGGGAAGTCTTTATCACCTGCCAAAAAAAGAAAACAGAAACCATTATCAGAACCAGATTACTGAACATCTTCAGCTTACAGTCAATGACCACTTCTAGTCATCAGCTAAGCAGACCTTTCAGTAATTGTACAAATCTGCATGAATAAATCCCGGACATGTCAACATATACAGCAACAGGATCATTGTTCAGAAAAGCTCCACCTTTTATCATTAAAAAGACTGCCTAGGCAGAGGTAAGGTCACTACTCAGTGACGTTGCCTAGGTTGGGCTGAGGTCACTAGTCAGTGATGTTGCCTAGGCTGGGCTGAGGTCACTAGTCAGTGACGTTGCCTAGGCTGAGATGAGGTCGCCCCGTCAGTGACTTTGCCTAGGCTGAGGTGAGGACACCAGTCAGTGACTTTGCCTAGGCTGAGGTGAAGTCACCACTCAGTGACTTTGCCTAATCTGAGGTGATGCCACCAGTCAGTGACTTTGACTAGGCTGAGGTGAGGTAACTAGTCAGTGACTTTGCCTAGGCTGAGGTGAGGTCATCAGTCAGTGACTTTGCCTAGGCTGAGCTGAGGTAACTAGTCAGTGGCATTGCCTAGGCCGAGGTGAGGACACCAGTCAATGACTTTGTCTAGGCTGAGGTGAGGTCACCAGTCAGTGCTGTTGCCTAGGTTGAGGTGAGGTCACAAGTCAGTAATGTTGCCTGGGATTAGGTGAGGTCACAAGTCAGTAATGTAGCCTGGGATTAATTGAGGTCACAAGTCAGTAATGTTGCCTGGGATTAGGTGAGGACACCAGTCAGTAATGTTGCGTAGGTTGAGGTGAGGACACCAGTCAATGACTTTGTCTAGGCTGAGGTGAGGACACCACTCAGTGACTTTGCCTAAGCTGAGGTGAGGACACCAGTCAATGACTTTGCCTAGGCTGAGGTGAAGTAACTAGTCAGAGACCTTGCCTAGGCTGAGGTGAGGACACCAGTCAATGACTTTGTCTAGGCTGAGGTGAGGTCACCAGTCAGAGCTGTTGCCTAGGTTGAGGTGAGGTCACAAGTCAGTAATGTTGCCTGGGATTAGGTGAGGTCACAAGTCAATGACTTTGTCTAGGCTGAGGTGAGGTCAAAAGTCAGTACTGTTGCCTAGGTTGAGGTGAGGTACCAAAACAATAATAATAATAAATAATAATAACAACAATACCAAAATTAATAACAATAATACAAATAATAGTAATAAATAATAATAACAATACAAAAATTATTATTATTAATTATGATGATGTGTAAGTGTGATATTCTGACCTTTTCCCTTTACCGATATGTAATCAGATTGCAGATTTGGGGTCAGTCTAGTTCTGATCAGGACAGATTTTTGGAAGTTTCATTGCGTTCGCTCATCCGGAGTTGCGTCGTCTCTGTTCTTCCACAGGACGCGGCGGGCACAGCGCTGGCAGCTGGCATCACCCAGGCGGATTCTATCTCAGGGATTGGGCAGGGGTGATTTTTCTACATCGCGTGTTGTTTACTTCTCCTCTCTCAGCCGGCTGTTCCCTCTTCCTCCTTCTTCCTCCTCTCCCGTCAGTTCCTGTCATCTCCCCTCCCCGTCACTGACACCACAAGACCAGACCGACCGCCCGCAACGCGGCGTCCGTTTACTTGGAGTGTGTGAACGCCTGGGAGCTGACTCCAGCATAGTCCCGGGACAGTCACTCATCGTATCTTTCTATGAAGTTACGTACATATTGTATCGGTTTCTTGACTGAAGTGAACATTTGTAGAACTTCACACTGACTTGATTCGGGTGCATTTGTTTTCTTTTTTTTTAGGCTTTTTTTCCCCCTATGTTTTCACCTGAAGATCTGGCCAGGAACACACCTTCTGTATTAGAGCTCCCCCACTCTGGAGGAAGGAGCGCAGGGGGGGGGGGCAATTATGGACAGCAGTTTGGGGGAGAGGACTGTTAGATGTATTAGCAGATTTAGACGCACTAACCCATAGAAGCCAAACTCCAGCACGCGCTTTATAATCAGTTGCAGCCAGTGGTGGACTGACAACTCATGGAGCCCCCCAGGCAACAGGGGATCATGGGGCCCCTGTGTCCTTGCCCAAACTCAAAAAAGCATATGAAAAAAGGTACCAGGGGCATCTCATGGGGCCCCCTACTGACCCGGGCCCTCGGGTAGTGCCTGAGTTTCCAAATGGTTAGTCCGCCCCTGGTTGCAGCAAAAATATGTTTAAAAAAATCTGAAGAATATTTTAAAAAATATATATTTCTTAAATATATTCTTCAGATTTTTTTTAACATATAAAAAAGTCATTTTAACATATATTTTTACATATATTTGTAAATGAGTTCCAAAAATGTAGATTTGTATTTTTAAAGACATCCAGTATATTTGAAAATGTATTTTTAAAAATATTTTTCATATATTTTGTAAGAAAAACGCATTTCGATATATAGATATATTTATTGAAATATATTTTGAAATATATTGAAAATGGCCAAAATTGTAGTATTTCAAATACATTTTTCTTCCATATGGGTGTGTCTCCCTACGCTGTGTGCATCAATAGAAACACACAGCCCCATAGCCTAGAAAGCTTCTTGGCCTCCATTGTTTGGTCTTCAGGGGGGCGTGCACTTCTGTCTCCTCAGGCCGCCGCCCCCTCCCCGCCGCTTTATTCCTATTAATTCAGCTCCTATCACTCATTGGCATCGGTCTTGAAGAAGGAGCTCTGCACATGCGTCATCGTTCCACGCCCATTCCTAACCCACGTCACTTCCGGTTGCGGTCTCCTGGCCAGTGTGCGTTCCAGCGATCCTGGAACTTGCGGTGGCCATCTTGGACAACTGATCCTCAGCTCCCCTTGCAGCTGCTGGCTGGCACAGCGGGTTCTCACATGGTGGATTGAGCCTCTGCACTCTGACGATTCTATTGAGCCTGTAAGTGTTTCTAGCTGTCATTATTAAAGATTCTTCTGGATATACTGCACTTAGAAGCGCCATCTTGTTCTATCCTCTTCCTCCTCCCAGCCAACAGACTCAATGGAAACTGGGCTATCCACTGCTAAAGGATATCAATGGTCAAAATGGAAAATCATACATTGTATTCCAATGATTTCCAGCCTTCTCCTATTACTCTGAACCATCTTGAAGTTTGTAAATATTCCTTCCCGGAATTCCGTGACATGGAGTCAGTATGCCCTGCGAGTTGGCACCGCTGTGTCACACCTTTCACAGAGCCCGCCTTCAGAGAGGAGGAGTTTCAGGTGGCGGAGTCAGTACAGGAATCGCCAAGGGACCGTGGGATATGTAGTTCTTTATATGGATGAGAAGCTGCAAAGCATGCTGGGAATCCAGGAGGTTCTGGAAAGAGGTGGCCAGCAGACAGGCAGTACTCAAAAGGCGTAAGGGGATTTTTCTAGTAATTTCATATTGGATTTCACTAATAACTATTGTTTGTAATATTATTACAATGCTGATGTTATAAAATGCAAGTGTATGGCGTGAGCTCTCCCCGGACCCTGCATTCACTATATCCGCTCTCCCCGGACCCTGCATTCACTATATCCGCTCTCCTGGGACCCTGCATTCACTATATCTGGTCTCCCCGGACCCCGCATTCACTATATCCGCTCTCCCCGGACCCTGCATTCACTATATCCGCTCTCCCGGGACCCTGCATTCACTATATCTGGTCTCCCCGGACCCTGCATTCACTATATCTGGTCTCCCCGGACCCCGCATTCACTATATCCGGTCTCCCCGGACCCTGCATTCACTATATCCGCTCTCCCGGGACCCTGCATTCACTATATCTGGTCTCCCCGGACCCTGCATTCATTATATCCGGTCTCCCCGGACCCTGCATTCACTATATCTGGTCTCACCGGACCCCGCATTCACTATATCCGCTCTCCCCCAGGACCCTGCATTCACTATATCTGGTCTCCCCGGACCCCGCATTCACTATATCCGGTCTCCCCGGACCCTGCATTCACTATATCCGGTCTCCCCGGACCCTGCATTCACTATATCCGGTCTCCCCGGACCCTGAATTCACTATATCCGGTCTCCCCGGACCCTGCATTCACTATATCTGGTCCCCCCAGACCCTGAATTCACTATATCCGGTCTCCCCAGACCCTGCATTCACTATATCCGCTCTCCCCCCGGACCCTGCATTCACTATACCTGGTCTCCCCGGACCCTGCATTCACTATATCCGGTCTCCCCGGACCCTGAATTCACTATATCCGGTCTCCCGGGACCCTGCAGTCACTATATCTGGTCCCCCCAGACCCTGAATTCACTATATCCGGTCTCCCCGGACCCTGCATTCACTATATCCGCTCTCCCCGGACCCTGCATTCACTATACCTGGTCTCCCCGGACCCTGCATTCACTATATCCGGTCTCCCCGGACCCTGCATTCACTATATCTGGTCTCCCCGGACCCCGCATTCACTATATCCGCTCTCCCCGGACCCTGCATTCACTATATCCGCTCTCCCGGGACCCTGCATTCACTATATCTGGTCTCCCCGGACCCCGCATTCACTATATCCGGTCTCCCCGGACCCTGCATTCACTATATCTGGTCTCCCCGGACCCTGTATTCACTATATCCGGTCTCCCCGGACCCCACATTCACTATATCCGCTCTCCCCGGACCCGACATTCGCTATATCCGCTCTCCCCGGACCCCTCATTTACTATACAGCGGCAGACTTACCATTTGGAAACTCGGGCACTGCCCGAGGGCTCGGGTCAGTAGGGGGCCCCATGAGATGCCCCTGGTACCTTTATCATAGGCTTTTTTGAGTTTGGGCAAGGACACAGGGGCCCCATGATCCCCTATTGCCCGGGGGCCCCATGAGTTGTCAGTCCACCCCTGCTCCCACAGTACACAGAACATGGAAATGCAATTATTTTAGTAAATATAGACTGCTAAATCCCTTTTCTCATCAGCAGTATAGAGCAGTCTTGTGACTTCTATCAGTGTCCAGCAGAGCACATGTTAAAGCTTGTAGGAGGAGTTTTCATTCTCCTCTCACTGTCCTATCAGGCTGCATAACCTCCGACCACTCTGTGTGGACTGCACTGTTTGGCCCAGTGCTGATCATATGCACCCTCCCAAAGGAAACACTCTCTACCAATACACACAAAACTGAGCATGTGCAAAGTGACTCCTGGAGCTCTGTACCATCCAGGGGATGGATTAGGGAGAATAGAAGAAGGAGAGGATCAGAGAAGACAGGATCAAACAGCCTTTTTACACAATGCGGAGGATTTACCACTTAGGTTCCACAGTGAGTATAACAAGCATGATTTGCTGCATCTACAGACTGATTTTACTGTTGCCCCCTCCTAGCACAAATCCCCCCCACAAAAAACAAAAATCCACTCCTAGCACAAATTCCCTCTCCCCTCTACCATATCGCCACTCCTAGCATATCCCCCAGATTTCCCCTCCTAGAACGATTCTTACTCCCTGCCAACCCCAAAAATTCCCCCTCGCAACACAAATCTTCCTCCAGTCTCCTTGTGGTGCCCCACAGTGGCCAGGGCAGCTGCCCCTTCTGCCCACCCTTTGTCCCGGCCCTGGTGAGGGGGCACATTTGGCCTTTTTGCCTTGGCTCCCAGGAGGAATGGGTGAAGGGCCCCCCTCCATACTTGGATGTTTTTGGGTAGGAGTTGCCGTTCCCCCTTTGTCACTCCCAAGTAGCAATTATGGCCCCAAGAATACCGTCTGCTGGAGCGGGCTCCCTCCGGATTCACTGTTTTTCCTGTTTCTTCTCCACAGATCTGTGCGAGGCAGATGCGCTGATTGGCTGATCAGCTCAAACTAAGACCACCCCTTGGGATCACAGACGGTGCAGCTTGCGGGTTCCCTTTATAAAGCACTGGAGCTGCAGCAGACAAGTGAGGCAGTTCTGAGTGAGGAGGAAATATCTGCAGAAAGTAAAATATTGAGCAACTCCCAGCGGGGGGAAATCCGCTGATAAGAGCGTCACCAGATTGGGCCGTTGTCCAAAGAGGAACCTTCGATGATGAGACAAGCAAACTCTCCGACACAAAAACCACTTGGGATGTCTAATACGAGAAGTGTGAAGGAAATACATGGTGGCTCCATACACTCTGAGGACAAAACAAGACTTACTATTGTCCCATTTACTTGATGTGCCCTTAAAGTGTTACTGAACCTACACCATTGAAATCAGTCTGTAGATGCAGCAAAGCATGCCGAAGCGCACAGTGCGCAGAAGTCGCCAACTGTCTGCAGAGTCAATAGCTAAAGACCTCCAAACTTGGTGTGGCCTTCAGATGAGCCCAACAACAGTGCATAGAGAGCTTCATGGAATGGGTTTTCCATGGCCGAGCAGCTGCATCCAAGCCTTCCATCACCAAGTGCAATGCAAAGCGTCTGATGCGTGGTGTAAAGTGCGCCGCCACTGGACTCTAGAGCAGAGGAGACGTGTTCCCTGGAGTGACCAATCATGCTTCTCTGTCTGGCAATCCAATGGATGTGTCTGGGTTTGGTGGTTCCCAGAACGGTGCTTGCCTGACTGCACTGTGCCAAGTGTAAAGTTTGGTGGAGGGGGGATTATGGTGTGGGGTTGTTTTTCAGGGGTTGGGCTTGGCCCCCTAGTTCCAGTGAAGGGACAACATTTTGGACAATTTCATGCTCCCAACTTTGTGGGAAGAGTTTGGGGATGGCCCCTTCCTGTTCCAACATCACTGCACACTAGTGCACAAAGCAAGGTCCATAAAGACATGGAGGAGCCAGTTTGGGGTGGAGGAACTTGACTGTCCTGCACAGAGTCCTGACCTCAACCCCATATAACACCTTTAGGATGAATTAGAGCGGAGACTGCGAGCCAGGCCTCCTCCCCCGACATCAGTGCCTGACCTGACAAATGTGCTTCTGGAAGAATGGTCCAACCTTCCCATAGACACCCTCCTAAACCTTGTGGACGGCCTTCCCAGAAGAGTTGAAGCTGTTATAGCTGCAAAGGGCGGGGGCCAACTCAATATTGAACCCTACGGACTAAGACTGGGGGGCCATTAAAGGTCATGTGTGTGGAAAGGGCGGGGTCAACTCAATATTGAACCCTACGGACTAAGACTGGGGGGCCATTAAAGGTCATGTGTGTGGAAAGGGCGGGGTCAACTCAATATTGAACCCTACAGACTAAGACTGGGGGGCCATTAAAGGTCATGTGTGTGGAAAGGGCGGGGGGGGGCCAACTCAACATTGAACCCTACGGACTAGAACTGGGGGGCCATTAATGTCCATGGAAATACTTTTTGGCCATTTCTATTTTGTGCATTCAAAAACTTACCCAGACTTTTTCTGGATTCCATTCCAGTCTATTCCACAGTTTCACAGCTCTTACTATGAAGAAGCCTTTCCATATACTGTGGTTAAACTTCCTTCCCTTCAGGTGCAGAGGGGGCCCCCTTATCAGGACAACTTTGTAGCACTATATGGATTGCATTATATGCATTGACACACGGTGATCATACCCCCCCCCATACCCCCCCATAATTGCCTATACTCAGGGCAGAATACCTTCACTTCAGGTAAAGCCCAATTGAACTTTTATTTTGAGCCAAATAAACTCTGGACACAATAAGCAAACGGCGTGCAAAATATTACTATTTTTATTTGGAAAGTAGCCACAGTCTGAGTAGAAAAGCCTGTCCCCTGCCAGCATGCTTCTGAGAAGGATTCTTGCTCTCTGTAGGGAAGCAGTGGTCTCTCAGCAGAAGTCCGACCCCCCCCCCCCCCCACCCTACCGAGTCAGAGCTGGAGCTCCCCCATCAGCAGGGACTGTGAGTTTTGTTGATTGCAGAGCTATAGGTCAACCTCAACTAGGTACAAGGCCGTGGATAAGGGGGTACCACCAGTCCTCCTATACTGGGCCCAGGCCAGCAGGGGGTTCATATCACAAAGAGCGCAGGGGTCAGGAGTTCCTAACACAGAGTGGAGAGGGTAGGAGTGTGTAATGCACAGAGTGCAGGGTGTCGTGTGTAATGCACAGAGTGTAGGGGTCGTGTGTAATGCACAGAGTGTAGGGGTCGTGAGTGTGTAATGCACAGAGTGTAGGGGTCGTGAGTGTGTAATGCACAGAGTGCAGGGGTCGTGAGTGTGTAATGCACAGAGTGCAGGGGTCGTGTGTAATGTGTAATGCACAGAGTGCAGGGGTCGTGAGTGTGTAATGCACAGAGTGCAGGGGTCGTGTGTGTAATGGACAGAGTGTAGGGGTCGTGGTGTGTGTAATGCACAGAGTGCAGGGTCGTGAGTGTGTAATGCACAGAGTGCAGGGGTCGTGAGTGTGTAATGCAGAGTGCAGGGGTCGTGAGTGTGTAATGCACAGAGTGCAGGGGTCATGAGTGTGTAATGCAGAGTGCAGGAGTCGTGAATGCAGAGTGCCGGGGTCGTGAGTGTGTAATGCAGAGTGCCGGGGTCGTGAGTGTGTAATGCAGAGTGCAAGGGTCGTGAGTGTGTAATGCACAGAGTGCAAGGGTCGTGAGTGCAGAGGCAGGAGTCGTGAGTGTGTAATGCAGAGTGCCGGGGTCGTGAGTGTGTAATGCACAGGGTGTAGGGGTCATGAGTGTGTAATGCAGAGTGCAGGAGTCGTGAGTGTGTAATGCAGAGTGCCGGGGTCGTGAGTGTGTAATGCAGAGTGCCGGGGTCGTGAGTGTGTAATGCACAGAGTGCAAGGGTCGTGAGTGTGTAATGCAGAGTGCAGGAGTCGTGAGTGTGTAATGCAGAGTGCAGGGGTCGTGAGTGTGTAATGCACAGAGTGCAAGGGTCGTGAGTGTGTAATGCAGAGTGCAGGAGTCGTGAGTGTGTAATGCAGAGTGCCGGGGTCGTGAGTGTGTAATGCACAGAGTGTAGGGGTCATGAGTGTGTAATGCAGAGTGCAGGAGTCGTGAGTGTGTAATGCACAGAGTGCAGGGGTCATGAGTGTGTAATGCACAGAGTGCAGGAGTCGTGAGTGTGTAATGCACAGAGTGTAGGGGTCGTGAGTGTGTAATGCAGAGTGCAGGAGTCGTGAGTGTGTAATGCACAGAGTGCAGGGGTCGTGGGTGTGTAATGCATAGAGTGCAGGGGTCGTGGGTGTGTAATGCACAGAGTGCAGGGGTCGTGAATGTGTAATGTACAGAGTGCAGGGGTCGTGAGTGTGTAATGCACAGAGTGCAAGGGTCAGGAGTGTGTAATGCACAGAGTGCAGGGGTCGTGAGTGTGTAATGCAGAGTGCAAGGGTCAGGAGTGTGTAATACACAGAGTGCAGGGGTCGTGAGTGTGTATAGTGTAGGGGTTATGGTTAAGTAATACACACAGTACTGGGGTCAGGAATGCGTAACACTCAGGGTGCAGGGGTCAGGAGTATCATCAGTGCATCACTAAAGTCTACAAAATGATGACATTTCAGGAAAATCTTGGAATTTTCAAAATTTCAGAGAAATGGAAACTTTCATGTTCCTATGAATAATTTGGATTTTTAGAGCCCTGGTTTGCTTTCTCTATTCATTGTGGGTGCCTCTTCAGGGAACAGTCGCTTCCTTTCCACCCCTTATAGCAGCGACATTGAAAATGATCCCACATGCGTTTCGCTTTCTTCTTGGTGACATTTTCATGCACCACAAATCCTTTCATGAAGGGATTCCTCTGGATGGTGAAGATTTGGGGGTCCAGGTGGAGGTAGACATCAGAATCCACAAATCTGCGAGCGCAGCGTCCGTTACCCGTACATAGCGCATGACTGCAGAGTACGGCCGCCATAGAGACGTTCTTCAGGTAAGGGGCCAGGGTCTTCTCTGTGTATTCCTTTACAGCCAAGCAGGACTCCTGAGGATGGAAATAAACCAGAACACTGAAAATGGACAAAACGTCCACCAGATGGGCCCTATAATGACTAATGCCCAATCCTAACCATACACACTATATTGACAAAATTATTGGGCCCGCCCTTCAAATCATGTGATTCAGGTGTTCCAATCCCCTCCATGGACACAGGTGTATACAATCAAGCCCCTAGGCATGCAGACGGCTTCTACAAACATTGGTGGGGGTCGCTCTCAGGAGCTCAGTGACTCCAAGCGTGGTCCCATGATAGGTGGCCACCTGGGCAATAAGTCCATCCGTGACATTTCCTGGCCACTAAATATTCCACGCTCAACTGTTAGTGGGATTATAACAAAGTGGAAGCAAGTGGGAACAACAGCCACTCAGCCACCAAGTGGTAGGCCACGTCACATGACAGGGCGGGGTCAGCGCATGCTGAAGCGCACAGTGCGCAGAAGTCACCAACTGTCTGCAGAGTCAATAGCTAAAGACCTCCAAACTTGGTGTGGCCTTCAGATGAGCACAACAACAGTGCGTAGAGAGCTTCATGGAATGGGTTTCCATGGCCGAGCAGCTGCATCCAAGCCTTCCATCACCAAGTGCAAGGCAAAGCATCGGATCCCGTGGTGTAAAGCACGCCGCCACTGGACTCTAGAGCAGGGGAGACGTGTTCTCTGGAGTGACCAATCACACTTCTCTGTCTGGCAATCTGATGGACGTGTCTGGGTTTGGCGGTTGCCAGGAGAACAGTACTTGCCTGACTGTCTTGTGCCAAGTGTAAAGTTTGGTGGAGGGGGCATTATGGTGTGGGTGTGTTCCTCAGGGGTTGGGCTTGGTCCCCTAGTTCCAGTGAAGGGAACTCATAAGTTGACATTTTGGACAATTTCATCCTCCCAACGTTGTGGGAAGAGTTTGGGGATGGCCCCTTCCTGTTCCAACATGACTGCGCACCAGTGCACAAAGCAAGGTCCATAAAGACATGGAGGAGCCAGTTTGGGGTGGAGGAACTTGACTGTCCTGCACAGAGTCCTGACCTCAACCCCATAGATCACCTTTGGGATGAATTAGAGCGGAGACTGCGAGCCAGGCCTCCTCCCCCGACATCAGTGCCTGACCTGACGAATGTGCTTCTGGAAGAATGGTTCAACCTTCCCATAGACACCCTCCTAAACCTTGTGGATGGCCTTCCCAGAAGAGTTGAAGCTGTTATAGCTGCAAAGGGCGGGGCCAACCCTTGAACCCTACGGACCTTAAAGGTCATGTGTGTGGTGGAAAGGGCAGGGCCAACTCCATATTGAACCCTACGGACTAAGACTGGGGGGTCATTAAAGGTCATGTGTGTGGAAAGGGCGGGGCCACGGGGCCATGTGTGTGGAAAGGGCGGGGCCAAACTCAGAACGGACAAGGACTGGGGGGCCAGTTAAAGCTGAAAGGGCGGGCCAACTCAATATTGAACCCTACGGACAAGGACTGGGAGGCCATTAAAGGTCATGGTGTGTGGAAAGGGCGGGGCCAACTCATATTGAACCCTACGGACTAAGACTGGGGGGCCATTAAAGGTCATGTGTGTGGAAAGGGCGGGCCAACTCAATATTGAACCCTACGGACTAAGGACTGGGGGATCATTAAAGGTCATGTGTGTGGAAAGGGCGGGGCCAACTCAATATTGAACCCTACGGACAAGGACTGGGGGGCCATTAAAGGTCATGTGTGTGGAAAGGGCGGGGCCAACTCAATATTGAATCCTACAGACTAAGACTGGGGGGGCCATTAAAGGTCATGTGTGTGGGCAGGCCGGCGGCCCAATACTAGGGGCAATATAGTGCAGTTCTGCAATGGGGCGGATAACATATATGATTGATATGGGATTACCTTGCTGTGACTGTAGTCATTGTTCCCCCAAAGGACGACTCCGGAGGCCCCCAGCGATGCGCTCTGTCCGATCGTCCTAATCAAATCATCCTGCAGAGAGCAACAACTCGGCTGAGACACTCATAACGGATAAAAAGATATAATGCCACTCTGCATTCAATGTCCAATATCAGTCCCTGTCTGTACACACAGAGCCTCTGGCTTAGAGTCTTACTCCTGCTGCTGCACTGTTCATGTAAAATGAAAGGGACGGCCCATAGGCAATGTGTGACGGACTCATAATGGCTGCAACAGGTGGGTGGGGATGGGAACTAGAGATCTCAAGCTTTATGCATTGGTCTGATCTCAGGTTTGGAGTCTCCATGTAATAGCAATTGGGTCTGATCACTGGGGGAGGGGAGACTGAGGGAATGCTTCCTCCTCCTTCTCCTTCTACAGAGTTACAATGTACAGTCTGATCACTGGGGGAGGAGACTGAGGAAATGCTTCGTCCTCCTTCTACAAAGTTACAATGTACAGTCTGATCACTGGGGGAGGAGACTGAGGAAATGACTCCTCCTTCTACAAAGTTACAATGTACAGTCTGATCACTGGGGGAGGGGAGACTGAGGAAATGCTTTTCCTCCTTCTACAAAGTTACAATGTACAGTCTGATCACTGGGGGAGGGGAGACTGAGGAAATGACTCCTCCTTCTACTAAGTTACAATGTACAGTCTGATCACTGGGGGAGGGGAGACTGAGGAAATGCCTCCTCCTCCTTCTACAAAGTTACAATGTACAGTCTGATCACTGGGGGAGGGGAGACTGAGGAAATGCTTCCTCCTCCTCCTACAAAGTTACAATCAGGGGCAGACTGACCATTCGAACACTCGGGCACCGCCCGAGGGCCCAGGGTCAGTAGGGGGCCCCATGAGATGCCCCTGGTACCTTTCATTGGCCTTTTCTTAGGCTTTTTTGGATGTTGGTGAGGACACAGGGGCCCCATGATCCCCTATTGCCCGGGGGCCCCATGAGTTGTCAGTCTGCCCCTGGTTACAATGTACAGTCTAATCACTGGGGGAGGGGAGACTGAGGAAATGACTCCTCCTTCTACAAAGTTACAATGTACAGTCTGATCACTGGGGGAGGGAGACTGAGGAAATGCTTCCTCCTCCTTCTACAAAGTTACAATGTACAGTCTGATCACTGGGGGAGGGGAGACTGAGGAAATGTCGCCTCCTCCTACAAAGTTACAATGTACAGTCTGATCACTGGAGGAGGGGAGGGGAGACTGAGGAAACGCCTCCTCCTACAAAGTTACAATGTGCAGTCTGATTACTGGGAGAGGGGAGACTGAGGAAATGTTTCCTCCTCCTTCTACAAAGTTACAATGTACAGCCTGATCACTGGGGGGGGGGGGGGGGAGAGACTGAGGAAATGCTTCCTCCTCCTTCTACAAAGTTACAGTGTACAGTCTGATCACTGGGGGGGGGACTGAGGAAATGCATCCTCCTCCTTCTACAAAGTTACAATGTACAGCCTGATCACTGGGGGGGGGGACTGAGGAAATGCTTCCTCCTCCTTCTACAAAGTTACAGTGTACAGTCTGATCACTGGGGGGGGGGGGGACTGAGGAAATGCTTCCTCCTGCCTGCAGTAGACTGATGGCATCATCTCAGCCTAGGCACAGTCACTGAGTGGAGCCCAAGGACGGCTTTCTAATGATAAGGTGGAGCTTTTCTGAACAATGATCCTGTTCTTGTATATCGTGATGTCTTTTTTTTCATTACTGAAGTTGCTGAAAGTTCCACTTTAACATTGAATGCTCGCCTATTGGGGAACTACAAGTCCCAGTGTGTGCTGCTAAATGATGACTGTCATGGCATGCTGCCTTTGTTGATTCTCAGTGGATACTTCTAGAGCCTGGGCAGCCATCGCAGAAAAGTGTTGGTTGAGTTGCATTGATAAGACATTCAGTTGGGTGTTCTTACCCTTTAGAAGGTGTCATTACCTGAGTCAGAAAGTCCATGCTGTGGGTGTAGACGATGCGGGCGTAGGGCAGCACTGGGACCTCTGCATCAGCTGACACCCTGAGTCCTTCCTGCACACGGTGCCTGACGAACGGTCCCACGTGCTCAGAGTCCTTGATATCTTTGTCCAGGTAGATGTGAGGATACAAAGCTTGGCTGGTCTGCCACAACCAGTCCAAGGCATCATTCCTTCGCATTTCATCGTCTGGACATCGGCCGGTGTATTTCTGGCTGGAATTTGCAAAGTCGTAATTGTAACAGTCTGGAAAGCCGTAAAACCCCCAGAGGCCCATGGGGCTCAGCTGGAGAGCCATCTGCAAGGTGGACATCATGAAGGCCTTGGCCGCTGATTCAAACTGCCTCTTTGCATGCCTGCTCAGCTTGCTATAGGACCAATTGGGGTGCCTCTGACTAACCAGCTGCAGTGACCACAAGTGGTAGAGGGTCATATTTCTCCAGTTACGGTCCCATAGGGGCCTCCACTCTTCCCAGTCCACCACAGCCACTCCACTGAAGTTCTGGTCCACCATGATCGCTTCCAGATCTTCCCGAGCTTTAACCAAGTGGTCTCCAAGGCTGGAATTTTGTGGAAGACCGCCATTGACCGGCTTGTTGTCCTGGTTGTAGTATGGATAGAGACCCAACTGGGTGCTATAGAAGATCACCACTTCCGGGCCCAGGAAAGAATGGTTCTGGTTGACAATAATATCGTAAGCTTCCAGGTCGAGCGATACGTTGTAGTTGGCCAGGCAAGGATAGGTAGGTGCATTCCACAGAATGACAAAGGGCCAGCCGAAGACAATGGGGTCACAGCCAGCTGGGAGGTACAAGATGGAGAAGAAGAGAAGAGAGGCAGGGGCAGTGAAGGCTGGTGGTCTAATGGACATGGTGGCACTCACATGTTCTCATTCCTGAGAAAAACAAACAGTTGTGTTAATATGATGTCCGGGGAAGATCTGGCTGCAGTTATTTCACATATGGGCCAGGGGTGGACTGACCATTTGGAAACTCGGCACTGCCCGGGGTCAGTAGGGGGCCCCATGAGATGCCCCTGGTACCTTTTTCATAGACTTTTTTTTGAGTTTGGGCAAGGACACAGGGGCCCCATGATCCCTTATTGCCCCATGAGTTGTCAGTCCACCCCTGGTATGGGCCATTTAGGTCCATAAAGTCCTTCAAAGTACAGAAAAATGCTTCTTGATCTTGATAGAAATACCAAAAGCTCCTAATTTCCTGTTGTTGGTTGACACCAAAGTTAGGGTTCCTTTAAACATAGTTGGGGAAGGAGAATGGTAAAAATAGGCAGTTGAGACACATTTTATTCCCCCCCTCAACTGTTCTCCTCAAGCTGCAAAGGGGGTTGTTCCCATTTGTTATACCCCTATGGTATTCAACTGGCAGCATGTGACCCATTCAAGTGATGAGGGCACTGCTACAACCACGTGTAATGCATGCGGTTTTGGTTCGGTGGTCCACACTTTACAGGGCTGAAATGGGCAATATGTTGTCTCCTCAAAATGTCTCTGAAAAGTTATCCACTGCGGATCATTTTTCAGAGGAGTGGCAAGGTCTGCCGAAAATGTAAACTTAAGCCGGCCAAATCTCAGCAGGGACTGGCCGAGGTTCGAACCATGTATGGGCAGGCTGAGTGTACCCAAGTCGATCGTTCAGCTTGGGTACAACCAAACTATCGGGTTTTACATGCGACTGTTATAGCCGCTAGCAGTAACTACTGTGTTCCCTCGGACGGGTGGTTGGCTCCTCCTGTCCCCCCACCAGTGGGGGGGGGGGGCACAATGACTCGCAAGAGGGATTCCCCTATCAACACTTACTGTATTGATGGAGGGAATCAAGCAATTTTCTTTCCTGCAACGTGGACATTAGATAATATCAGGGGTGGACTGACCATTCAAGCACTCGAGGGTCCGGGGTCAGTAGGGGGCCCCATGAGATGCCCCTGGTACCTTTTTTAAAGGCTTTTTTGAGTGTGGGCAAGGACACATGATCCCCTATTGCCCGGGGGCCCCATGAGTTGTCAGTCCGCCTCTGGATAATATACTCACCTTTCCCATGGCACCTTGGCAATAGTGACATCATCCTCCTACTGTGCTGGCAGACTCCATCTTCCCAACAGAAAATGAAGAGAAATTCCCCTCTGAAGCAGTTGTCACCAGAGATGGTGTCCCCCTAGGACGATTTCCCCTCTGTTCCTGTCCCAGCTTGGAATGATGGATTTCCAATCACTTCGTGTGTCCCGGTGACACCAAGACCAATATAGAGGGTGAGGCATGCAGCAATAAAGAGTCAATAAGCATTCAATTCCTTCCACAGTCAAAAACTTAAGTCAGCCATTGATGAGTGGAAAATTGAACGTTCTGTCGTTCAAAAAATCAGAATAGCTCATACGATTGTGCCATCAATTGTTTTCATTCTCTTTAAAAAAAACCCCATCATGTTGGATCAGACACTTCTGATTGCGGCACGGAAATCACATGTCGCAGCTGGCAGACTAAGGATGCGAAAAAAAAGAACATTTGGCCGAAAGACATGAATTTCGTTCAGTTTTTGACTCATCTATGACCAGCAAAGTTTTGCGTACATTGTATGAAATCTGTTACTAACCTTGCTATTGGTCAAAGAAGAGCAAACATGTGATTGGTGACCTCAGGAAAGGATGAGGACTGTCAGACGATTCCGCCATTATCGATGGACTCCATTCTGGGCGAAGCTGAGGCTCTGTAAGGACACAGTAGAGGAAGGAGTTCCATAGGACAGCAGAATGGAGAACATGAATACATAACGAACGTATTTATATTCTGGATGCAAAATCATCATACAACCAAAACATTTACAATTTACACAGCAACAATGTATCACTTTGTTAAATATCTACACTCGCCGGCCACTTTATTAGGTCCACCTTGCTTGTATCGGGTTGGACCCCCTTTTGCCATCAGAACTACCTTCATTCTCCATGGCGTAGGTTCAACAAGGTGTTGGAAACATTCCTCAGAGATTTTGGTCCACATTGACATGATGGCATCACGCAGTTGCTGCAGATTTGTCGGCTGCACATCCATGATGCCAATCTCCCGTTCCACCACATCCCAAAGGTGCTCTGTTGGATGGAGATCTGGTGACTGTGGAGGCCATTGGAGTGCAGTGACCTCATTGTCATGTCAGGAAACCAGTTGGAGATGATTGGAGCTTTGTGACACGGGGCATTATCCTGCTGGAAGGAGCCATCAGAAGATGGGGACACTGAGGTCATAAAGGGATGGGCATGGTCAGCAACAATACTCAGGTAGGCCGTGGCATTTAAACAATGCTCAATTGGTACTAAGGTGCCCAAAGTGTGCCAAGAAAATCTCCTCCACACCATGACACCACCACTAGCCTGAACCGTGGATACAAGGCAGGATGGATCCCCCACATCATGACACCACCACTGCTACCAGCCTGAACCGTGGATACAAGGCAGGATGGATCCCCCACACCATGACACCACCACTAGCCTGAACCGTGGACACAAGGCAGGATGGATCCCCCACATCATGACACCACCACTGCTACCAGCCTGAACCGTGGATAGAAGGCAGGATGGATCCACCACCACCATGACACCACACCAGCCTGAACCATTGATAGAAGGCAGAATGGATTCACCACACCATGACACCACCACCACCAGCCTGAACCGTTGATACAAGGCAGGATGGATCCACCACACCATGACACCACCACCAGCCTGAACCGTTGATACAAGGCAGGATGGATCCACCACACCACGACACCACCACCACCAGCCTGAACCGTGGATAGAAGGCAGGATGGATCCACCACACCATGACACCACACCAGCCTGAACCATTGATAGAAGGCAGCATGGATTCACCACACCATGACACCACCACCACCAGCCTGAACCGTGGATACAAGGCAGGATGGATCCACCACACCATGACACCACACCAGCCTGAACCATTGATAGAAGGCAGGATGGATCCACCACACCATGACACCACACCAGCCTGAACCATTGATAGAAGGCAGCATGGATTCACCACACCATGACACCACCACTACCAGCCTGAACCGTGGATACAAGGCAGGATGGATCCCCCACATCATGACACCACCACCGCCAGCCTGAACCGTGGATACAAGGCAGGATGGATCTATGCTTTCATGTTGTTGACACCAAACTCTGACCCTACCATTGAAATCCAGACTCCTCAGACCAGGCAACATTTTTCCAATCTTCTATTGTCCAATTTTGGTGAGTCTGTGCGAATTGTAGCCTCTGTTTCCTGTTCTTAGCTGACGGGAGTGGCACCTGGTGTGGTCTTCTGCTGACAGGAGTGGCACCCGGTGTGGTCTTCTGCTGACAGGAATGGCACCCGGGGTGGTCTTCTGCTGCTGTAGCCCATCTGCTTCAAGGTTGGACATGTTGTGCATTCAGAGATGGTATTCTGCATACCTTGGGTGTAACGAGATGATAGAAAGGCTGTTGCCTTTCTATCATCTCCAACCAGTCTGCCCATTCTCCTCTGACACCAACAAGTCATTTTCCTCCACACAACTGCCGCTCACTGGATATTTTCTCTTTTTCGGACCATTCTCTGTAAAGCCTAGAGATGGTTGTGTGGAAAAATCCCAGTAGACCAGCAGTTTTTGAAATCCTCAGACCAGCCCGTCTGGCACCAACAACCGTGCCACTGTCAAAGTCACGTAAATCCCCATTCTTCCCCATTCTGATGCTGGGTTTGAACTTCAGCAAGTCATCTTCACCACGTATAGAGGCCTAAATGCATTGAGCTGCTACCATGTGATTGGCTGATTAGCAATTGGACAGGAGGACCTAATGAAGAGGCCGGTGAGTGAATAAATAAAGATCTGACATTTATAATCTGGTATCTCTTCCTCTCCAGCTAAAAATCAGCCGAGGGCCCATTCTCACCAGAAACTGCGCATTTACCGAGCGTTTATGCATGCGCAGTGATGTGCATTTAACACGCATTTGAATGCATTTGTGCTGCATTTTTTCCTAAGCTTGCATTTCCTTCGAAGTCACTTCTTTCTTCTTCTGGCTTTTCTGTGAGCTGCGTTGCAGTGCATTTGAGTGCGTTTACATGCCTTTGCACAGGTTTCTGTGTATTTGCAATACAGAAAATGCAGCTCGCTGTTGTTTTTTTTTTTCAATGCACTTCCCCCGAGTTCACACCCAAGCGTTTTCCGTTGCGTTTTTGCAGAAACGTACAGCAGTCCATTTAACATGATTTACTATGGGACACGTTCACATTTCGTTTTCACCCGGGACGGTTTTTGGAAATGGTCACACTACATGCGTTTCAGTTGCTTTGTTTCTGCATCCAAAATGCACAGAAAGTCTGTGATAGGGTTGTCAGTGTCATCGTTCACATCAGCGCTTGCAGTTCCGGTGCGTTCCGGATGCAGAAAAAAAAAAAGTAAAACAGGCTGCAGTTTTTCTGCACTGAACTGTACTGGAACGCGGTAAAACGCATCAAAAATGCATCGGAATGTGCCAAAAACGCACCAGAACACACAAGTCCCATTTAAATTTAAGAAAGAGTGCGTTCTGGTTGCAGAGAAAAGAGTAGAACAGGAGGCATTTTTTCTGCACAAAACTGTACTGGAACACAGAAAAGCGCACCAAAAACGCACCGGAACGCACAGGAGCCTATTGAGGGCCTCTTCACGCTATAGAAACGCAGGTAAGATGCATTCTGGATGCATTTTTGCATGCATGTTTTTGACTCATTTTTGGCACATTCCAGTGCGTTTTTTATGCGTTTTACCGCATTCCAGTACAGTTCTGTGCAGAAAAAAATTCAGCCTGTTCTCTTTTTTTTTGCAACCGGAACGC